TAAAGAGGAGTTTGCAGAGGCTGGAGAGGACACAGGCATCGATGGGAACTCAAAAGTTCATAAATGGTAATAAAGAGGAAAGTCTGAGATGATGACAGGACCATTTCTGCCAATGCTACAAAGTGATTATTGGCTTCTGATGTAAAAGTTCATGAATATTTTTGTGTTTTATCTCACAAAGAAAAACGTCTTCTACAGAGTAAACATTCAATAAATATATTTTGATCAGAAAAATGAATACATGAATGTTGTCACAAATCACTAGAACATTAGTGAGAATCAGATTTACTGACTCAGTGCTATGACTCCAATTACTTTTAATTATGTCAGCATGAAGAAAATTAAAAATTGCTATTTGTTTGATCATTACTTAAAATATGTAAACTATTAAAATGAAATTTCACAGGTACCAATCAAATATATTTTAATTAAGAAACTGTGGAATCTGTATTAAATTTTATGAATTTTTTACTCTGAACCTCTTATTTTTCCTTCCCACAACTTGATATAATTTCTAAAGCCTAGCCATAGAAGAATTTGATTTGGTGAATTAGAACCAAATAAGCTTTCATGCCAACAGCTTTTATTGCCTAAGATTTTTACAATTCTTATTGTAAAGTCCTAAAATGTGATTTTAAACAACAGTGTATCTGCTACAACAAACAAGGCCCTCCAAAACAGCATGAAAGAGAATTACCTCACTAGACAGTAATTTCATTATAGAGGTTTGTCTCCCTTGCTTTAAGCAAAAAAAACACACTGAAATACAGTCTTTATTTAGACACATACAGAGCTCCTTCTTACATCTACCTATAAAAGTAGAAAAGGATTATAAAAAATATTGGTTTTCTCATATTAATATCTTTATCTTCATGGTTACAACTTTCAGTGTTCAACTATACCCTAAAAATGGAGTTTTATATTATTTGTTAGTATATTTATATATACTCATAATCTTTGAATTGTATTTTGCTTTGATGCTCAGAATCATTCCTTCCCACTCTGTCCTGCACAACACGTAGGTCATCCCCTTGTTCAGTCTATCCACCATGCACATGGCACCCTCCCATTATTCATATAGCCATACCAGGTCACTCTAGAGAATTTGTGCTCAGATCCTTCTAAAGACAGCTTCATTGTACTTAGCAATGTCACCATAGTACAGTAGGAATGCAAGTTTTGATGTGTTGGTGAGCTTGTAAAGAACTTTTTTGTGTGAAAAAGCAAAAATTCCCAACTCAATAAGGAAAGGAGGAAAGTGATGCAATGCCTGTATCATCTATCTTGCCTCACTTCATCACAGAGACATTGTATCATCATCCCAAATTATCACATAAGGGAAGAATGAACATGGCACAGGAAGCTATTATGGCACCACATTTACGTTACATGCATTACAGTATATTGCTGTGGCTGTGTTTTGTCATTGACTGTTGCTAATCTTTAACTGTGCCTAATATATAAATTGAACTTTATAATCGATATATATATATATATATGACACATACATATATATATGACAAATATAGTGTGTATGTGCATGTGGGGTAGGGTAGAGGGAACAATGGAGGGAGGGAAGAGAGGATGGGAGAGAGAGGACAGGGAAAACAAAAGATAGAAGTTCTTTCATTTTAGGAAAGGGTTGGGAAAAGTAACAGACTTTTATTTACTTTTATGCTTCTAATACTATGCTAATGTTCTGTGATTATTTAACCTCCACCGCAGCCTGTAGTTAACAGCTTTGTTTGAACTGCACAGAGAACAACTGACCAAAGGTAAAATAGTGATTAAGTAGACACTATTGTAGAGCTTGATATGCTCTATGGTTTCAGGAACCCACTCAGTTTAGGCTCATTTCCAGTGGATATCATGGGGCCCTCTCTTGTAATTATAGCCTCTTAGATCTACAGACACCTGAGTAGCTGTAGCACTTAGAAGTAAAACATGCCCATTTCACAAATTCCAAATGATTTTTTACAATAGCATAAGATTTGCAATTTATTTATCGTGCTGGGGCATGACTTTGTGTCTCCACATGATACTCCTTCCCAAATCCCCTTCCTTTTCTTTTCTTTCAGTTCTAGCTTCATGTAAAGAGTATCCTGGTGTCCCCATACAAAAGAACTTTCTTGATCTCCTTCCCACACTCTGTTCTAATTAGCTGTAGGGAAATGGCTTGCCCAACACACATTGTCCTTTATTATATTTGCTCATTGATATATTTGTGTTTTATTTTGGACTGTGTGTTCTCAAAGTCAAAGTTCATACTTCTTTTATTTCTGTTGTGTGATTCATTCCTTGGCCCTCTAGTACAGAGCAATATATATCTGATTTAGAATGAACTCCAGCCCAGAGATGAATTTTCCCTAAAGGCTTTCAATGATCTGTATGAAGCCCTGGGGTAAAATAGAGAAATTGCAACATGTTCAACTTGGAATAGACTTTAGCAACTGGCTGAAATTCCCTGCATTTTGGAAAAGGATAGGAAAAACCATGAGTCTTTATTAGGATCTATGGTTCTCATAATGTGATAACATCTACTGAATGGTATTTAGTCTTCACAACAGCTAAGAAATAACAGCCATGGTTGTGCTACATGGATGAAAACCCTGAACTAATCAAATGCAGATTCCAAATCTGTTTTTTTTCCTTTCATTTTATTTTACAATACCATTCAGTTCTACATATCAGCCACGGATTCCCTTGGTCTCCCGCCTCCCAACCCTCCCCCTCCCCCCAACCGACCCCGCATTCTCACCTCCTCCAGGGCAAAGCCTCCCCCGAGGACCGAGATCAACCTGGTAGACTCAGTCCAGGCAGGTCCAGTGCCCTCGTCCCAGACTGAGCCAAGCGACCCTGCATAAGCCCCAGGTTTCAAACAGCCAACTCATGCAATGAGTAAATGAAGACCACATGAGAAAAGGAAGAAACAAAGTGCTAGAGAGGCCCACAGAAATCCACAAAGATACCCCCACAATAGACTGCTGGCAATGGTCAAGAGACAGCCGGAGCTGACCTACTCTGGTGATGGGATGGCCAAACACCCTAATATTCGTGCTAGAAACCCTGTCCAATGACTGAGGGATCTGGATGCAGAGATCCACGGCTGGGCCCCAAATCTGTTTCAAACCTGCAAGCCTTCCTACTTTGCAGTATCCCACTATGAAGAACTGTAATAAACTCTCTGAAAATTAGGCGAAGCAGCCAAGAGGAAGACATTGTGGAAGAAAAGGAAGCAAAGAAAAGGCACATTGGGTGAGCTCAACAGATTGAATTCTGGGACAAAGTTTCAACAAAATTTTAATAGAATAAATTTCTGGATTCCTCATTCCCCACAAATCTTGATATAAGACATATGAAGGCAATGATGATGTGGATTCTAGGAGACAAAATGAAACCACATTTTCTGTGTTTCTCAAAGAGGCAGTATGGGGACACCACAATGAGTACTAGAAGAACGTGAAAAGAAAGTGGATTCTATTTAAGGATGTGGGCGGAATGCACTCTCCATTATACATCTTAAACAGTATCATTTATCAAAAGACAGAAGCCTAAAGTTCAATGAAGGGATGCATGAGCTGTGAAATATCCATTAAATTAGATGGAGACATGCCCTGTGACACCAAGTGTCCAATGTCATTCTCAGAAGCTGTGTTACATTACAATATCCCATAAGATCACATAATAGACAGCATAAATGTTCAACTCAAGATCATCAAAAAGGAACTCACTTTCCTTTTAGAAAAAATAAAATGTTTTTAAACATTTTAGAAAATGGCTCTCTGAAATTGACTTAAAATTCAAAGGATCCCTTCATATATACCAAATACAGAACTTCAAACTTTCTATAGTTTATTTAGGGAAATTTCATAACTAGATACAAATATATAGTCATATATCCTCTCTATGTGTGATCAACTAGTTCCCTGATAACTTTATATATATATTTCCATATTACACAATCACTAATATGTTTGTTTATATATATATATATATGTATATATATATATCACCTTTTCTCCTTAATTTAACACATTTCCAATTCCATAAAAAAAGACCATTATGTGTGCTCTAAACCATTTGCTCTCAGTTTAATAATACTGTCTTAACTGAGTCTGAATCTTAATTCTACTCTCAGTTATATCAGCAACAAGGGATAAATACTCTCATTAACAGAAATACCTAAATTATTAGTAAATATGTGCACGAGTGTCTACACAATATACAGAGGAAGAACTTAGTTCCCAAATGCATGCTGGACAAAGCAAGCCAACACACTTCATGGTAAGGCACTTACTTCAGTTAGCTTTCAAGGATTCTGCCTGACTGTGTAGGCATCATGTTAATGTTTCCATTATTAAACTAATCATGTTTTTATCATCTTTCTGACTTGTCCAGGTTACTCATGTTCAATTATTATATACATACCACACACTTACATACCACATGTATGCATTTTATGTGTGGCCATATGCTTATTGTCTAAACTGTATACAAGTGAGATGATTGATAAAAGCCCACATCTATTATTCTTTCTTTGATTTATTTGCAGACAAAATATTGTAAGTGACAACCAGAGCTTTTTGCTCTTTGGTTCTTAAGTTTAAATATGGTTTCCTCAGACAAGGCATCCCAAGACATATAATTTATATTCTTGCCTGCCATGTGTTCCATGGCTTACTGTGCCTTCTCATACGACGGTCTTTCTATTGTCTGCCCTCATGGCACTGTGAGTGCAGGCAGAAACCTGTCCTTTAATTTGCCCCCGAAGATCCTAGTCGAAAATCCACAGAATACAAAAATTCCAATAGATAAGTCAATGAATGAAAACATTGTGGAGATTCAGACACAGAAGAATACCATAGTAACACACCATTTTTTCTTATGTAAACAAACAAAATATGGAAAATGTGTTCATCAGTCTATGTGCTCACCATCTTTTGGACTGCACACTATACCTTCTCGTATTTTCCAAGCACTCTATTTTTCTTAATGCAAACCTTTATTGTCGCTGTGTGTGCTCCGGGGTATTCTTTTTCTTCCAGTGTTGACCACCTTTCTATAAACTTAGACACCAGGGAATCGTCGTAGTCCACGATCTGAAATCCAGAGACATTCGCACCTCCAAACTGAATTTTCAGCAGGTCTCCATCAGTAAATCCCTAGATATAAAACACATTTGTGTTATCCCTGTGGAAGTTAACCTCTCCTGTGCCTCTCTACACATTGTGTCTTTAAATGTTAAACACACACAGGAGAGATAAAATGCCTATGTAACCGGTTTCTTATATTTAACAGTCAATGCTCCTCACCACACCTCACATCATATAGTCATCATAGTGGCCCCCTAATCAACATGTTTACTGATGGATCACCTCATGAAAAGCTCACAGGATGTTTTCTCTTGTACTGAGACAGCTTCCATGTGTTGGGTAAGGACTGGGTCTCCTTCATTGAGTTTATCATGGAGAACAGCCATGTGCATACATATGGAAAGTATTGATCAAACTATTCTCTATTAAACCAATCATTCACCCACCTGATAAAATAGCTTTAAAATGAGGAGGAAAAAACAAACACCCAATTGGTGTTCTTAATTGTTTAACAGAAATGCAATTTCACATTAAATTAGAAATAAATTTAATACAATAATCGAATTTCATCAAATAGTTACAGCTCAGGAGAGAAACTGGGGTGATTATGGGCATCTGTCCTGCTCTTGCCAAGGACCTAGGTTCCCTCCCAGTAGCCACACTGGGCAGGTCATATCCTCCAGTAACTTATTTGGTGCCCCCTTCTGACAAGTACAGGTATTGTACTCATGAGCAGAAACCTACAAATCATGTTATACTTTCATTAATCCAAATTATGTGTTATCATGATTTTAACAATTTTTTAATCAAAGAAATAGAAGTCAAAATTTCAATGTGGCAATTATAAATGTATTTACCTTTAAAATGTATTCATTCTGCCATGCATAATGATTAAATATATCCTCAATTAAGCATGGATCTTTTATTTGTTGTTAGTATTTAAAACATGAATTATTATACTTTTTACCTGGACAAAGAGTGATTACTTCATGTTACCCCACAGTTTTGGTTTTACGGAATTGGTGCTAAATGGACTCTTTGGATTTCTAGTGTGACAACTGATGTTGAGGGGTTTTCATCTTCCAAGTTCTCAATAGAAAATTAGCACTTTCCCTCTGGCCAGTCTCTTATGCGTGTTAGAAGAGATGGTTGTAAACAATTCTTAATTCTTTAACAATAGAATGTGACCTATCAACACCTTGTACTTGGTGAATGTTGTTCCTTGAAGAACACCCTAACCTAATCTAAATTATTATTCAAATAGTATTTGCAAGAGAATGGAGATCAGACAAAACTCTATCTTCTTGTCATCTGGAAATTAGCATTTCAATGTCATGAAATGTCTAAATTCTCAGAAATTACATCAGAATTGGGACTTCTTCACTGAGTTACCAGAAGTTTGTGAGGAGAGGAAATCAAGGGTTTGCAAAAGGGAAAACAGATCCGAGTTCAGCTTCAGTATTAATTTAGGTAGATTTCTAAATAGAATCATGACAAGAGCATGGACTTGCTCACTTAGACAGTTCTTTCCTTTTTCATGGCATTACGTGTCAATTCTCAAATTGATGAGACACCTTCTGTCATTATTTCTCAATGTTCCAATAAAATCTTCTCCATCTGGACATTTTAAAAGATCACAGCTTTCACTGTGGCTCTGTGCTGTTCACCAAATGGCACAATGCACATAAGGGACTGAGTGTCCAGGCTGTTCCGGGCCTGGAACACAGCTCAGCGAAGACTCATTGCAGATCTTTGTTTCCTGTTAACTCTTGTGCCTACACAGAGTCCTTTCCAATCTCCTAGATACACACTAAGAGAAAAACCCAGAAGACTGCCGCAGCAGCTAGTAATCATGCCACCAAAGAGAAATTTCATCTTGAACAACTAACTTCCTCCAGACTCAGGTCACTGACTGCTACTGAATTGAAAACACTATTGTTTGAAACATTTGTTCTGTTTTTTGTTTGTTTGTTTGTTTGTGTGTTTGTGTGTGTGTGTGTGTGTGTGTGTGTGTGTGTGTGTGTGTGTGTGTCTTTCTGTCATACCAGGCTGTTTTCTGAAGTACAAGCTGATACTCCATAAATCCTAAAAAGAAGCCTGTATATGCATAAGTACAAAGCCTTTGTGGAGTCCTGTCTATCAATCACATGGCCTAGAATAAACTTGCAATTTGCATTTGCTGTCTCTTTCCCTTTTTTCACTATATTTTTCATGAGGTTGTGCAGAGATCCTTTCCAACAAACAAGGTCATAGCTGCTCAAAGACCACGAGGAAAAACAATGATTGTTTTACTACTTTTTTTTTTTTTTTTTTTTTTTTTTTTTTTTTTAAAAACGGGTTTTTTTATTTATTTTTTTTTTTTTTTTTTTTTTTTTTGGTTTTTCAAGACAGGGTTTCTCAATGTAGCTTGTTTTACTACTCTTTGAAAGCCCATTTTAGAAATAAAAACAAATGTTCAATAATCTAAATAGATTGGCTATAAGTAAGAAATAAAAAACCCAAAGAAATATAATTAACCAATCTGCTTTTTAATATATATTGAATTGACAAGAATCCTGATGAGAACATGACCAGCTCTTAGAAGAACTCAGTTTTCATTTCATTGTGTTACTCATACACTATGCAGAAAATCAGAAATAAAATATTTTCAAGATATTATTATTATATGATCTACAATATATGACTGATAATTTTATTGACATATCTTATTTCTAGATTTAACTTTCTCATACATGTCCATCAATTTTAGATATTATATTTTAAAAATTCAAGTGAAAATGCAAGGAGTAAGTTTATAAAATACAGTGAGAGAAAAACGGATAATTAAACAGTTAAACTTTATATTTTAAAGGTTTCCCTTAGTATAGAATTTCAACATTTTTTGAGAAAATATTGTTGTGAAGATATTTATATCACATCATAATAAATAGAACTAGTTTAAAGTTGTAGATTAAAAAGTAAACCTAAAGCAACCAAATAAAATATTTCATTTATCATCTGTAAAATATAATTGGACTTTATTTTAAAAATGAAAGATGAAAGATGATCATTCCAAATTAATATATTCAATTAAAAATATTATGTAGTAATATTGGGGAGATGGCTTTGTATTTTCAAGCACTGGTTAATTCTCCAAATGACCAGGGTTAAGTTTGCAGCACCCACATGAGGGCTCTCAACTATCTGTAACTCCAGTTCTAGGGAACCCTAAGCCTTCATCTGGAATCTACAGTGATTGTGTGCACATGGTGCACAGACATACATGCAGACGAAACACTCATATCCATAAATTACAAATATATAAATCTTAATAAAAACTTAGTAGATAGTAAAATAATGCCAATTAATTTACCTACCAGATTTGCAATGATATAATGGTACCCTTTAACATGTTTTCCAATGGTAATAACCTAGCAAGGATAAAAACACAAACATTTAGTACATATGAAAAACAACGATACAAAATTACTGATAGGATGATCTGATTAGCAAAAGATGGAATTTGGGGTCTTATGTTTCACTAGTCATGTTTAATAAAACATTTTTTAGCAAATACAGACAATGTTTCTTAGGAAAAGGTAATAATTCACTTTAGTGCTTAGTAAATGTTACCTATTAAAAAGTCAACCACTAAATCAAAATAACTCATCTTTTAATTCAATCGTGAAAATATGTCCATATATTTTGGAGGGAAATATAGATTCAAGTAAATTTAATCCATAGCAAGTCATAAATTTATTTCTATCATTACATATATTTGTCTTCCTAATAAACAACCACCTAAAATAATCATCTGAAATATCATAACTGCACATCTATATACAATAGGCATACATTGAGTTTATAAAACGATAAGGGGACATTAATAAGCAAATATATTATTATTATTATTATTATTATTATTATTATTATTACCAATACACTTATAGCTTAGTTCAAATGAATACTTATAGCTTTAGGCAACAAAGTAGCCAAGATGCTAATATCTCTTCATAAATCTGAGTCAAGCAAGACAAGCTTACATCTTGGAATGAGAGATTACTCTAGCAATGGTCAGAGAACCTTTGGACACTACTGAGTCACTTTTCCTTTCACTGACTTCTACCACTGACACAAAGAATAGGTGCAGATGAATGGGCTTGATGCAGTCAAGTACAGAGATGCACCGAGTGATAAATACACTGTAAAACGAAAGTAACTTAGGTAAACAATGCATTTAATTCCCTTAATCTAATAGCCTTCATAGCTCACGATCCAAAGTTCAGAGAAGTGTGGTTTACTTTCTTTCATGATTGGAATGTTTGAGGGGAAGCAGTGACATACGCCCACTGCTTATCATCTCCAGAGAGTACTGTACTGCATTTTGGTACCGTGGGGTAGGGAGAGGGAGTTCAAATAGACAGCTTCTGCTAAATTCATAAGACCCTCCAATGTATCATAAAATTGAAAATTATAAGATGAGCCATGTAAGACTAGGGTCATTAATATTCAAAATAATTTCTTTAGTTTGTATTTTGTTATTTTAGAAAAGATTCCACTGTATACTCCAGTCCCTCCTTGAACTCAGCATGTAGGTCAACCTGGACTTAAACTCTCAGTGACCCTCTGCCTCAGCCTCCACAGTGCTGGGATTCCAAGTGTGTACCATCATCCTTTCCATTTTTAAGGGAAATAATCAAGCCAATGAAAAGCATGAAACTGTAAGCTAAAGAGAAATATGCAAAGTATTAGTTCACTTTCCTGATTCTCTGACTCCCCTTATTATTAAACAAATGACTAACACTAACAGTGAACCTGTAAGCTTCTCCAGGTTTACCCTTCCCACTCTCTGCACTCAGACCACAGGGGTTTTCTTAACTGTTTTGCACAATAGCACACTTATTTAAAACTCCTCAGGAGTTTGTCTCCTCACTTGGAAATTTCTTCATGTGACCACATCCATGTATTATTAACATGCAAGATGTAACCAATTTCAGCCTAATGGTCACCTCCTGGCTGAAGACTTCAATGGTTGTCCTTCACCCAAGACAATGTCAGGTGCTAGCATCAACACATTTGGTCCAAGAGCAAGGACACAATTTCCAGAAAAGATTTTACAGAACACCATGCTGATATTGTGTGACAGCGGTTTGAAAAGAATTCAGGGTTATATAGCCTTCTTACCCATTTTTACATCACACAACTAAATTGCCTTTTCCAAGAAAACAGATCCTCCACATTGAAGGCAGAAGCTTGAATAAAAGATTCTTTTTAAGTGAAAAATATTTTAATTCATCTCAGCTTAATCAACATGCATTATGTCCATAAATACTTTAAGAACATCTGTTGATTCTGCCTATTGAGCAAGCTACAGTGCTAATGTCCCTGTTTTCCATCTGAGACTTAAGATGAACAGTACAAATGAAAGCAGTTGTCTCTATTTCTGTTTACTGAGAAAAAGAAGGGATATGAAATTCACTAGGTTACAGTCTTTATAGATGTTAGTGCGGGCCATAGTAGCCATTATAATTTTGCTTTACAATAGCAACTAGTATTATACAATAGAGAATTAATGCTAATTTCCAAGTGTTTTGATGGCTGCACACTTCTCTCATGTGATCACAACTAGAAATAAGTGTCTTTTGGGTTTTATCAGATAATGTTAAAATAGTCCTAATCTAATGCAGGTTAATTCTGTTGCTAATTTCCAGATGCCGTGAAGATAAGAGTTTTGTTTGATCTCCATTCTCTAGCAAATACCAGTTGAGTGAATTAACAATACAGTGTCTTTTTTTTTGGGGGGGGGGTTAGAATGTGCCTTAACAACACCTTGTACTTGGTGAATGCTGCTTCTTGAAGAACACCCTAACTTAATCTAAATTATTACTTTCCATAATCCTTTTCCAGAACAATTTGTTCTTTTCAGTCATGGATCATCCATGTTGTGATTATTTAACTATAGCATTAACTTCTTTCTTTGATGGGGTTTACCATGTTTTATTTAATGATGTTTCCTTAGACATATTTTAGTGTCTGTACAGAAACCCATTGAGACCTGGAATATTTATTCAAAAAATTAGTAAATAGCTCAAAGCTGGCCAGATATTACCTTCTGTGTATACTTTGCATAAATCACTCCTCTCGAGAGATGGGTAGATCCAGCTGGGTGATGGTGGTGCATGCCTTTAATCCCAGCACTTGGGAAGCAGAGCCAGGTGGATCTCTGTAAGTTCAAGCCCAGCCTGGTCTACAGAGCGAGATCCAGGCTAGGCAACAAAACTACACAGAGAAACCCTGTCTTAAAAAAAATGGGTAGATCCTCATCCATCCATTGTAGATCATTTCCATAGTTTAGATTTTATATGATCCATCCATACCCCATGTGTTAAAGGCTTGGTCCTCAATTTGGGGCTATTAGAAGGTGGTACGAGCTTCATGAGATAGGATATAGTGTAAGAAATATAGAACATTAGAGGAATCTCCTGGAGGGGATAAAGAAACCCTGATCTCTTCCTACCTCTCCTTTGCTTTCCAGCCACACTGAAGTGAACTGTTTGCTCCAGTACATACATCTATCATTATATGTAGTTGTCCACCTAGCTGGAAAATTACTGGCAACTAGCTATGGATGAAAATTTCCAACATAATGAGCCCAGATCAACAGTACCTCTCTAGAATTTGTTTTACCCTATTATTTGTTAGAGTAACAGAAAGCTAAATAACACAACTTTCTATGTTATAGTTCTTAGTACCTTATCTGTATTCATTTTCTTCCCATATAGTAAGCTCTTGAGGTTCAAATAGCAGCCTTTCTTGCCATTCTTTGCATCCTTCACTTAGATAATAATGCTGATTAATTGACATGCCATCCATTTGTGCACTCATTTAATGTATTTATAGACATGTACTTATGACATATAAATGTTAAACAATGCTTCTTAAGTGAGGTACTACATGGAGACTTGCATGACTGTAGTTACAGGTTTTGCTTCAAATGTTGCTTTTTATGGTCCCAGTGTGTTGTGCAATTTCCCTGTTCATGTTTTTGAAAGACACAGTTGTATAAAGGTTTTCATTTGTGTTTATTACAAAGAAGCAGAAATATTTACATTTTTAAACCAGACTAGTGAATATTATTAAAATTCAGCTTTACTGAAAACCTCCCATGAAATTAACTGTGATTTTGAAGGGAGCATTCCAACAAGTGGCCTATTCTAACAGCAATTTTAACTTCATCTCCGGAGATGAGAATCAAGATTTTTAAATTGAAATTATTCTACTCTCTTGCATACAACTGATTCTTTTACAGGTCATATTAGTTTGATTTAGGTTATTAAGTCACTAAGACACTCCATTTTTTATTCCTTAAGGTCTATATTTTATATTAATTAAAGCTTCTAAACACTTGTTTCTAGAATTAATGTCTTGAATACTTTAGTGAATTTCAGTTTTTATCTCAAAGGCTAGGAGCATAAATGCATACACAACTGTATACTTCTTTCTAAACTAATGTACTTTTCAAGGAAGAAGCAGCTGCAGTCTCTCTTCCTCTCTCTCTCTCTCTCTCTCTCTCTCTCTCTCTCTCTCTCTCTCTCTC